CATGGGGCTGTTCTGTGGGGCAGCAATGGAGGGGGGGCCCTGGGCAGGCTCTGCGGTGCAGCTCCTCCTCTCTGAGAGCCCCAGGAGCGATAACAGAAACCTCTCTCTCGCAACCTCTGCTAACATCCAAACACACCAAATTTACAGCCTTTTCAACTGTTGTCCAAATCAGAGGAGGCTGCTGGGAGGCTGCGGGTGTTTCTCAGCCCATGTATGATTGCACCCACAAGAAGGCAGCCCCCTCTTCCCTTGCCCCATGCGTGCGCCGCTCCGTCGCATGGGCAGGACGAGGTGATTAATGGCCAGGCTGGGCTGGAACAGCTCTGAAGGTGACCTTTGCTGCTTTGTAAATCCCTTCCCTCCCCAGACTGCTAAAACAGCAGCATGCAGGAGCAGAGGATGGGGACCAGGGCAGGAGACTTTCTGCCTTGGCTTTAAACCACCAGTTCCCACCTGGTGACGACTCCCTGGGACCTCAGAGGTCCCCACATGGGCCATGGCAGCCCCATGGAAAGGTTTGACTTGAGCACGACCTGCCTGGGCAGATGTCAGTGCCACTGCCAAGCTTTCCATTCACCTCTGCTCTCCGCCTTGCCCTGGGAAACTGGGAACCTGGACACCTGCCCACAAGAAAAAAGTCACCAAAGCCCTAAAAATAAGAGTTTTTCTCCTCACAGACCTGGATGGCAGCACTGCCCTTGAAGCGCATCTCTGGGAGGTCTCTCTGGCCCTGCGGCCTTGTAGGAACAGCAGCGGGGATGGCTCCAGCCTGCTGGATGTGTCCCACATGGGGCTGGTGGGCCAATCCTTCCTGCAGCCAGGAGCCAGGATGCAGAGGGTATCCTGGCAGGACTGTATCTCAGACAGGCACAAAATGAAGCCACCCTTCCAAGGTGCTCAGGGGTTGGTGTCTGATGACCATGTTCGCTGCCTTACACTGCAGAGAGAAGTAAAACCAATTTATTTGCAAACCCAGCATTGCCTGCCCATGCTCTGCGCTGGTGGGCGGTGGGGCGCTGCAAGGACAGACTGAAGCCAGGAGCCCAAAGGACTGGGGAAGGTGGGAGGGCAGGCACAGGAGACACGGAGGGAGCTGGGAGTACGGCCAAGTGCCAACCATCAGGCTTGGCAGGATGAGGGGACTCATGCCCAGGCAGCACCTCAGTGATCCCTGCAGCTTCCCTGCCTGGAGGAGATGGCAGCTCTGCCCTGCTTCATCCTGAGTAGCTGGGGCTGCTCAGCACAGAGCACTGCAGGGGCCCTGCTGGGACAAGGGTCTATCCCTGCCTTGCCCTCACACCAGCCCGTGGGGCCAGCCAGACACGGGGCAGCAGGAGCAGGGAGACGCCGGGGCCACAGCCTGCACCGCACTGGGCGCCGTGCCGGGCAGGGGCGGAAGGAAGCAGGCGTTTCCAGCGCAGGGAACGGGAGAGACGGCTTTTTTCCGTCAGGTGCTCTGTTTCC